AATATCTAATAATTTTGATATACCAGGAAAAATAGATTTATCCTGTGTTTTGTGTAGTATGATGTAGTCATAGTACTTGTGTAGTGCTCGAGTATGTCGTGCCAACTAAACTATAGTTGAAACAATGTGTGTACTTGTATGCAGTAAAAGGTTTCACGAACTTTCTAGATATGCCTACATTGAAAACACAAGAAAAAAGTGAAATGAGAAGTAAATAAACAAGAGCTGTCACGGGAGACAGTGAAGCTCGACAAATTAAATACTGGACGCAATAAGGAATACAAAACTATCTTCATACAGAAATATTTTTTGGGAATCGAACCTGCCTTGCATTGATATTCAACTAGGAATCTAAGTCACAGTCTTACCTACTGCGTTACATTGACAGATGATAATTGTTATATCATAAAAAGATGTTAAATACAATATGATAACTGTTTTACACCGTTATAGTGGACTTGACCGCCGCGTCTCTAAATTATTATCTTAAACGTACACAACACTTTTAAGAGATACGATCTTGTGTTAGACACCTACATTCCCCATCATACTTCATGGACTATTCCACGGGAAGCTAACTTCGCCATTACTATTTTTCCATTTCGTGAATGACCTTGAAGAAATATAGACTGTGGATTGACTTTATGCCAGTTATCTATATATTTAATCAGCGAAACCCCTGAAGCCCTTCAAACCAATCTCAACCAATTAGAGGCGTATTGTAAAAGATGGCACCTAACAGTTGACGTTGAAAAGACTTAAATTATGGTATTCCGAAAGGGTGGTCAATTACCAAGAAATCAGGCTTAGACATATAACGGCCAGACCATAGACATTGTTGAAACTTTAATTACCTAGGCTTTGTAATGAGCAGTGGCGGGTCATTAGATGAATTAGCAGATAAAGGTCTTAAATCAATGTTTTCTCTCAAAAGTATCACTGAGGGATGCAAATACCACTGCATATAAACTTTAACCTTTTTGATGCCTATGTAACATCTATAATGTCATAGTGTTCATTTAGCCAAGCAGAAAGACTACAGCGGTTTCATAGTAAATATCTTAAATGGACATTGGATGTAAAAATGAGTACGAACAGTTATGCACTTTTAATTATGGTGAAACGGGCGATGATTTACAAAACAAGTGGTTATCAAATGTCAAGACAATGTCGCAAGAGACGGGGTTTAATGATGTCTGGTGTTTTCCTGCATCTGTTGTTAACATAGAGTGCTTTATTACACAGTTTAAGCTTAGGCTTAAAGACATTTATACATTTCAACGGCATGACTCTATGTAAAGAAATCAAACAAACTTTTGAAATGTCTGAATACTTGACAATAACAAATTCAGAAATGCCTTGGATAAATGCCGACTGTTTGCACTGTTTCGCCATAGAGCTGGGTCGCCATAGAAACCAGATAAGATGTGAACGAAAGTGTGCTATATGTACCAAAGACGGTATTGAAGACGAATTTCATTTTGTGAGAAGTATAAAGACTTGAGAAAATTATATACTCCGTACTACTTCAGAAATCATCCTCACATGTTTAAGTTTATTGAACTGTTCCGATTGTAATAATGTAGACTGTCTATATCTATTTCAAGAGCTCTGAAAGTATGAAACAATCACATGAATCTTGAAGGTTAATAATAACAAATGTTGACTTGTGTGTAATATATATTTGCCGATTTGATTTTATGCTTACTGATTACATTGTATATTATTTTCCCTATATGCAACTGACAACTTGTTTTGCCATGCAATGGAATGTACATGTATCATATTTTCATGATTGATGATAAGCTGTATATGCTTAAGTCAAAATAAATATTCTGTTCTGCTCTGTTCTTTTACCTTTTTCTCTGATAAAAATAATAAACACACACAAAATATTGTTTTAAACTTTTCGTAATATAAGCGGGAAATCCCTGACCCGCGCATTGCGTAGCTCATCTACACAAACACTATCACTTATCTATTTGACTTTAATCTTTAAGCTACAAACCTGCTTGAAACAACATAAGAACAGAAAAGGCCCTATATCGGAAATTATGAAAAAGGTTTATAATTTATTGTCTCTCATGGATAGACTCCAGAGAAAATAGAGACTGCAAAAGTCAACTATATATATTTGCCTTGGAATATTGCTCTTGAGGGATCTCCACTTTTCCAGAATACAACAAACATTCAAACATTGAAGAATTTGTACAATATACGAGTCGTATATATATAGAAGTCAACACAAAAATAAACTTATTACGAGCTCGAAGAACATATACAAAGGGCCTGCTAAAAATTGAGTATTACTGTTACGCAAGTGATAAAAGTTAGATGGTAATGAAAATTTTGAACGGAACTTGTACTAATTGTGGAGGGTAGTGATATAAATTTTTATTCTGACGGAAAATATGTTTCACTGCAGTGAAATATAAATGTTTACAGTGAAAATACGGAAAATAAAATTACGAATTTTATTTCATCAATATTTCTCAATATTTCATTTATAAGTATATAATATTTTTTTTTAATCTTTACTTGTCATTCCATAAGGTTGATATGCTCTTAACATATTATTCCACAAATTTTGATTTTTTTTTTCTGTATTTGTCAATCCCGTATCGAAAAATCTCAGACTGAAATTTCTGCATTTCATTAAATCAAACTGTTTCATTAAATTTTTTAATGAAGAGTATTTTTTACTCTACAAAACATTTTCTTAAGAACACCATAGAGCATGTAAATATGTACACATTCATTAACGTGTTTTTTCTTTGTCCTAGGGTAAATGAAAACCATTGAAACACTGACTATATTCAGTGACCTTTGACTGATCTTTAAAAACACAAGGCTATCTTGTTACGTTCGTTCATTCATTTATTTAAATGATTTAAGTAAGTGATATGTATTTTTTTTAAATATAGCCGTTTAAATTAGCTAGATTTACTTGCATGAATGTTGATCTTATTTTTTTTTCAAAAATATTTTTCATATTTCAATATATTATATTGACAAGCTAATATTTCAGATAATATTTTCATACTAATTGGCTTATATTGTGGACAATATTATCACTCTAATTAGGTGATATTGTGGACGATATTATCATATCCATCATAAAAAGAGAGAAAGTACCTAATACATTTTGATAAGTTATAAAAGATTGAAGAAATTTTTGCTGGTACTGGAGAAAGAATCATAAATGATAGATAGTGATAAAAACATAAAAAGGATTCAGTGTTTCTGATATTAAAGGACAATATTAAAAGGTAAATCGTGCTATAAGGATCTTTTTATCTATCTGCAAGGGAGTGAACTTATGATCCCCTGATTTATATATACTGTGGAGGATAAGCTTGGTCAGTTAGTAGCTGAGGCAAACCAGGAGATCAAATATTCAAAATCATTGAAAGAAAGGAACAGTTACACAGTGTAATTTGTCCATATAAAAGAATACATGTCTTTTGCACTTAAGAAACCATAGTGAAAATTATGAAAAGATAGAACAGTTTATTAAATTTTATATTTTTATTAAGATTATAGAAAAAAAACTATAATAATTATAATGTTGATAGTCTAAAACATAACTTCTTACAGCGTGAACAAGCAGTTCTAAATATAAAAATGTCACTCTCTTCACGATCTGTTAAGACTCCAAGTGTTAAAAGGGTTTCCTTTCTTGATTCAGTACATCACAGCTTTGTTAAAGAGACGAGGCAAGATGGCGTTGAAATTTCAGAATTGTTTCCAAAAATCGAAGTTAAGTCGATTCTTCGAGATTCAACATCTAACAATCACCGGACGATGTGTGCCATGCCAGATAAAGCCAAAGATTACTTGCATAAGAAACGCAGCAGAAGAGAACTAATGAAACAGGAAAAACAAAGGACGGCTCGTAAAAATGCATTGTTCTTTCCTCCAAAAGAACCCACGGAAACATTAACCCATGCAATGTTTCGATCCATGACTCACAAAATTCCAAGTAAAAATTCTAAACTTATATTGCCGAAAATTGCCCTCGTGTCTGACGCAGATCAGGACATGAGATTCGGATCACCGAAGAGTCGGTCGACTGGTCATTCATTCCCATCGCATCGGTCATTGCAACGTTTTTCCTCACTACAGTCACTTACACCACGGAATTCATCGGTCCAGACATCATTTGATATGAGCCTCCCCTATCCAGAAATTACGACCTGTTCTGCAGAAACAAATGTAGTTAACTTCGATCGAGAATGTGGACTGTGTAGACACAACTGGAGACGAAGTCGACAACCTGCTTCCGGTTTCTGTAAATTATGCGACGAATTTATGTGCGGAGACTGTATATACAATCATCGTGGACGACTCACACGTTTACATCCCGTAATCGTTTTCCACTGCAACACGTGTAAAGCAATGAATATTCTAAACCGTAAAGGCTCTGGGTACTGTATAAAATGCAAACAATTCTACTGTTCTATCTGTGTCGTCCTACATTGTTCATTAAAGAACCACGATGTTTTAGAAGGCAAAGATATGCTCGACGTAACTGACGTCATGATAGGGAAGTGACCTATAGTCACATTATAATTTCATCATAATCCTAGAACCAGTTTAATCACCATTGTCATCTTTGGCAGCCTAAAAATATTGGCAACTGTCCAGAGATAAAGAACTGGCAACATTTCAAAGATAAAGAACTAGCAATTGTCCAAAAATAAAGAACTGGAAACTGTTCAGAGATAAAAAAAAATTGGCAACTGTGCAGAGATAAAGAATTGGTAACTGTTCAGAGATAAAGAATTTTTGTTTTTGTTTGTTTTGGGTTTTACGTCACATCGACACAGTATAGGTCATATCGTGACGTTCCAGCTTTACCGGTGGAGGAAGACCTCAGGTGCCCTTCCGTGCATTAGATAAAGAATTGGCAACTGTTCCATAATAAAGAACTGGCAACTGTTCAGAGATAAAGAATTGGCAACTGTTTAAGTTTCAATAAACTATATTTAACAAAGCAGTGACTTTCAAGTGTTTTTATTTACTCTTCAATAATCAACATACAGTTCACATTTGTTAGTTTTGAATAATGATCAATATTTCTTAACTTTATGGTAACATATACAATGTATATCATAATTATTATTGTTATATTAATTTATTTTCTTCTTCAAAAAAGGAAATAAATAATACTAATTCTCATATTTTTTTCTTTTTTTTTTTTAGTATCCTTCAGTTTCCAAAAAAAGTACTCATTGACCATATACCTTATTCATCTATTTCTTTTTTTTGCCTTTGGCAATTACTACTGCAGCATGTAAGGATTAAGTATGGAAGTCATAATACGTTTTATTTTCTACATGTGATAAATATCTCACATGTTTTACAAAAATATCACAGCATTACAGAAAACATAATACCCTTTTCTACAGAATGAAAATAAATCATTTCCGAGGCTTAATGTGCCTTTAAAGGAATGAGTGTAATATAATTAATGTATTTGATGGAGTTGGTGTCATAGCTGCATCAATGTCCCCCAGTTCAATACAACTAAAACTACATACAAGTGAACTTTTTTCCATGATTGAGTGGAAGATTTTTCTTCAAAAAGAGAGATTTTAGAATTTGCAATAAACAAAGAAGGAAGTTCTGACATCAAAAAGAGGAAGACTTCTTTAATTTGTCAAAATACCCCTTATTTTAAAACAAGAGGGCCATGATGGCCCTGAAATCGCTCACCTGTATATAGGCCCCCGGGGCGGGGCTAATTTTAACCCAGGGGCTTTATTTGAACAAACTTGGTAGACACCCATTAGAGGATGTTTCATGATAAATATCTAAGCTCAAGCTCTAAGAAAATTTTTAAGTTTTTACTAAACACATATAGGGAAAAACAATGACCCACCCCCTCTGTGCGGGCCAATTTTGTCCCCAGGGCTTTTATTTGAACAAACTTGGTAAACACTCACTAGAAGATAATTCATGCTTAATATCTAAACTCTATCTCTTTGGGCTTTTTTACAGAACATTTTTTCAGTTTTTACTATATACATAAAAGGAAAATCAATGATCCCGGGGCGGGGCCAATTTTTTTTACCCCAGGGCCCTTAATTTAACAAAAATGGTAGACACCCATTAGAAGATGTTTCATGCTAAATATCTTAGCTCTAGCTTTTAAGATTTTTTATGTTTTAACTATATACATAAAAGGAAAAACAATGACCCCCTGGGGCGGGGCCAATTTTGACCCCAGGGCTTTTATTTGAACAAACTTGTTAGACACCCACTAGAAGAGGTTTCATGCTTAATAGCTAAGCTCTAGCTCTTTGGGTTTTTTAAAAGAAGATTTTTTAAGTTTTTACTATATGCATATAGGGTTAATCAATGACCCCCTGGGGCGGGACCAAATTTTAACCCCAGGGCTTTTATTTGAACAAACTTGGTAGACACCCATTAGAGGATGTTTCATGCTAAATATCTTAGCTCTAGCTCTTTGGGTTCTTTAAAAGAAGATTTTTTTTAAAGTTTTACTATATGCATATAGGGAAAATCAATGACCCCCTGGAGCGGGGCCAATTTTGACCCTAGGGCTTTTATTTGAACAAACTTGGTAGACACTGACTAGAAGATGTTTCATGCCAAATATCTAAGCTCTACCTCTTTGGGTTTTTTAAAAGAAGATTTTTTAAGGTTTTTACTCTATGCATATAGGGTAAATCAATGACCCCCTGGGGCGGGGCCAATTTTGACCCCAGGGCTTTTATTTGAACAAACTTGGTAGACACTCATAAGAGGATGTTTCATGCTAAATATCTTAGCTCTAGCTCTTTGGGTTCTTTAAAAGAAGATTTTTTAAGGTTTTACTATATGCATATAGGGAAAATCAATGAACCCCTGGGGCAGGCCAATTTTGACCCCAGGGCTTTTATTTGAACAAACTTGGTAGACACTGACTAGAAGATGTTTCATGCCAAATATCTAAGCTCTACCTCTTTGGGTTTTTTAAAAGAAGATTTTTTAAGGTTTTACTATATGCCTATAGGGTAAATCAATGACCCCCTGGGGCGGGGCCAATTTTGACCCCAGGGCTTTTATTTGAACAAACTTGGTAGACACCCATTAGAGGATGTTTCATGCTAAATATCTTAGCTCTAGCTCTTTGGGTTCTTTAAAAGAAGATTTTTTAAGGTTTTACTATATGCATATAGGGAAAATCAATGACCACCTGGGGCGGGGCCAATTATGACCCCAGGGCTTTCATTTGAACAAACTTGGTAGACACTGACTAGATGATGTTTCATGCCAAATATCTAAGCTCTAGCTCTTGGGTTTTTTAAAAGAAGATATTTTAAGTTTTTTCTTTCGGTTGCCATGGCAACCAGAGTTCTGCATGGAATTAAATTCTTTGAACAATTCTTAAAGGTGCCCACCAAAGGAACATTCCTGTGAAGTTTGGATGAAATTGGCCAAGTGGTTTATGAGGAGATGTCATTTAAAGTAAAAGTTTACGGACGCCGGACGGACGGACGAAAAGCGATCACAAAAGCTCACCTTGTCACTTTGTGACAGGTGAGCTAAAAAATCTTTGAAAATATGGCTGCAGAAAGTGGGAGTCTTCCGCTGCTTAAAGTGGGAGTGTTCACATGTATGCAACTAAAATCTACGCAGCTTGAACTTAAAGCTTTAAAGGCACACTTACCCTCAGAAATTAGTATAGTAAAACTGGAATTCTAAAAAACCTTAATACTTTGAAAATCGGATGATTTAAAGTCCAAATCCACTGATAAATAAATCACTTTATATAACCTCTGCAAACAGGACTTTTGGCTAAACATGGCCAGGGTTTCTTCTTCTTCATTTTTACTGTATATTTTTGTTTTCCTTTACAAAGAGCAAACATGTAATTTTTTACTACTTCAAATTGGATTAAGTTTGTTTTTTTGATTGGGTTTAACATCTCATCAACACAGTATCGGTCGGCGATGTTGCAGCTTCACTGGTGGAGGAAGATCTCAGGTGCCCTTCCGTGCATTTTTTCAGGCACGAATAGGCAGCTGAGTAGAACCACCGACGTTCCGTAAGCTAGCTGGATAGCTTCCTCACATGAAAGAATCCAAAGTCCATGTCGGGATTCGAACCCACAGCGGTGAGGGGCAAGTGGTTTGAAGTCAACGACCTTAACCACTTGGCCATGGACACCCCTAAATTGGATAAAGTGCATGTGTGATGATGACCACCTGATGAAAGGGAAATAATCATTGAAGTAAACAAAGTACTAACATACAAAATACTACACCACAAAACTATTTCAAAACAATCGCCTCCGTGGACGAGGGGTTAGTGTCGATGACTACCTCTCTGGCGTGGGTTCGATCCCCAGGAGATGCTTTGGTAGTTTAGCGTGGAGGAAGGTAGTCTAGTACTGGTGTAACTCTCTAGGAACGATGGTTAGGAAACTACTCGCCTATATGACTGAAATACTGTTGAGGAAAAGGCGTAAAATGAAACAATCATTTCAAAACCGTAAGAGATAAGTTATATGACCAAGGAGTAGCCTTTTGGAAACACGTCACCTGACACTACAAGTAAAAAGTTTTTGAGAAATATATAAGAAATATCATTATTATCTAGGCTTGATGAGCCTTTAACAAATATGGTCTATAACTAACAACATACATAATTAAGTAAACATAAATTATCATTGTGATTTATACACACATGGTCTGTAGCTAAAATATTCTTCAACTTACATCTAACCCAACTTTCTGGTAGGTCCATCCTGGTATGTCTGGCCTAAGTTTTATATTCATTACACACGGTTAATACGATCATGAAAAAATATACAAAAACTTTACTCTCTACAACAATCTGTAAAACTGAATAAATATTTACAACAAAAATAACACACTCTGTACACTGTTCTGCCAAAGTGTGATCTTTTACTTCTAGTGTAAGACATGATTTTTGTTTTTTTTCCCCTCTCAAAAACTCTGCATTTATTTTAGAAAAACACAGAACTTAAACTAATATGGGTGGGGAACACTTTTTTTCCACATTGACACTATATCTATTTTTATTCCGACATAATGACTGCGGGTTTCACTGAATTCTTTACGATATAATTACTCAGACAATCTAGGTCTTGAGAACTATCCTGTTCATTTTGAAATACTGTGTAACCTCGTCAGAAAGTGCCCCTTTGTTGAGCAATCACCTCTTCACAACAACCGTGTCATTTTTCTACCAATAACAACAATTCACAATAAATTTAATTTTCACTTCACTAAAGCAACACCTCTTCTGAACAACCATAATTTGTTCTCTCCTAAAAGAATACTGCTCTGAAGGAGATATACCGTATTAATTTTGCACTCACTTTACATTAATTTCTCAATTATACATTTTTGTAATTTTAGTTATATATCTGCAATATTTCATCTTCCAAACAGTGAGAATAGCTTGGGTTTACTCTTATTAAGTATCATGTTTTGTATAGTGTCAAGGTCGGGTAATTTCTGCAACGTTCCATACCCGGCTACAGCAGGCTTTGTTCTTAACATTTTCTGTGCCACTCTGCTTATATCTTCTGCTGTCACTTTTTCTGAAATACACAACAGTATTTGAGCCGCGTCACGACAAAACCAACATAGTGCGTTTGCGGCCAGCATGGATCCAGACCGCATCCGCGCAGTCTGATCAGGATCCATGCTGCTCGCTAGCACTTTCTCTACTTGTAATTGGGTTTGTAAGCAAACAGCATGGATCCTGATCAGACTAGGCGGATGCACAGGCTGGTCTGGATCCATGCTGGTCGCAAACCCATTATATTGGTTTTGTCGTGCTGGGCCAGATAAATCTGATATGTTAATGTGATGACTTTTTTTTTTTCACTGCACTAGCCATAAACATTAATGGGGGGGGGGGGGGAAATAACACTGAATGCTTGCAAAAGAGGACATTAAAACTTTTACAATTTCATGTTTAAATGTTGAATTCTGCTTTAGGGGTAGTGGACAGTAGTTTGCACTTGACAGTATCATCCATGAACAGGCTCAATCAAACCAAGCCTTCAAAACATTTTCAATTTTGCGATTTTGGACTTTCTTTAGGGACTCTTATTATTTTCTCCATTTGATATAAATTGAATTTAAAAATTTCCTAAGGAGAGGCAGCCTTAAATAGCACACCACTGCTAAAGAGCTGCAGGTTAGCTCAATAGGTAAGGCATTGGTCTGTAAATCGGGGTAACCCAGGTGGGATTCCTGGATAGCATAGGTTACTTTCGTTGTGATTGATCATGAAATTATTTTCTATGATCATTCACACTGTACATATGCTCTGGTATGTACAGAAGTTTCAGTTCCTTGCAAAAGTGAAAGCAACTAGTACTGGTAAACTGCTTGACAGCATGCCGAACAATGATGCAGAGGTTGAACTGTGCTCTGGTAATTTCAATTTGGCTAATAACTGTGATCCAAGTGATAACTACTAACACCACCACAAGCAACAGAACGATAAAGTTGGACATTTAAAAACCATCATTACAAGTTTAAGTTAAACTATATTGCTGAAGGAAAACGTCAGGGGGAAGTACTTCATACGTTGTAATAGCAAGTACAAAAGAAGAACCATTCACAATCCATACACTAGCTGGGATAACTTCCAAACATGAAAGAATATGAAGTCCCTGATGGGTTTATACAGTGGAACAATGAGAAGTGATTTAAACACAAAAACCTTAACCTCACTGTGACCATCAACTGAACATTTAGTTATACAAATTAATGATAAAGAACAATACCTATAAGGTCATGATAGTATTCTGGCTGGTTTCTATAACCCATGGAGAGCACCTGTCTACCAACATCCTCAAACACAACCGGTCTTTGTTCTAAGTTCATCAACAGCATAGACTGGAGCTGTCTCTTAGCTCTGTTTAATTCAACCTACAAAATTAAAATAATTGAGCTGTGTCATTACAAAACCAACATAATGGGTTTGCGACCAGCATGGATTCAGACCAGCCTGCGCATCCCCGCAGTCTGATCAGCATCCATTCTGTTCGCTTACCAACCCTTGTACAAGTAAAGAAACTGATAGCGAACAGCATGGATCCTGATCAGATTGCGGGGAAGTGCAGGCTGGTCTGGATCCATGCTGGTCGCAAACGCACTATGTTGGTTTTGTCGTGATGCGGCTCATTAATTGCAAATAATAGTTACATATATCTACTCCAAAACATTTTATTACATCATTACATTGATTTCTTTTAAAAAAATGTGCATGCCTGATAAATATAAATTTAGCTTTATCAGTCACCCTCAGCTTTATCAGTCACCTCATCAATAGATATTGAAATAGAATGAAAAAGGTAATTGAACATTTAACCATTTACTAATTTGAAAAAATATTAAACTGAATATTAAACAAATACAAGTTTTGAATATTAAAGTTTCTCTTACATTTGACTAAAAAACATTTGGGACTATTCTATATAGATATGTCCTTTGACAATTATTTCTGTTTGCAATTTGAAATCAAGAGATTCTTCACAGTTTTTTGTTTCATTTCAAAAAGAAACACATACTAAAATTGAAAATATGATGAATAGAATATGAAACAAGCGTCTGGCATTATAGAATTAATCAGGCTGGGCTTGAAAAAATGAAGCGCTTAGTAAAGCCTCTGCTTTCTTTTTTTTTAGCCTTGCCAGATAAATTTTTTTTATATCCTCTTAAAATATTTTAGGCCGTTTTATTAGGCACAAGAGTAGAACAACCGACAGCCTACTTTCTGTATGGTACTAGAATAGCTTCCATGCATGACAGAATCAAAGCCCCGTTCCAGATGCAAATCAACAGCGGAGAAAAACATGGTGCTCACTGTTTGCAACCTTAACTAATCAGCCACAAAGATCCAATACCACTGTTGCTCCTTTAGAAAATTTTGCTACTTGATGTTCTTTTGTTGTTGGTGTGAACAAATTTCATTTAAAAATGTTTTGGAAGGCTTTATTTTTCATCTTTTTTTTTTTTGCTTTTAAGTACAATGCTCCAAAATTCTTAGATTTTATCAAGGGCAATTTACCTATATTTCCCTGAATGATTTTGACAAAAATTTTCATTTAATGCTTATCTTTCAAAATTCTCTAGAGCCACCTTTCATTGCCATGATTTCAATACTCTTAAGGGCAACTTTTACATATTGCTATTTTTTCCATACTCTGGAGGGGAATTTTCATTTCAATGCAATTCATCTTGAGGGTATTTTTCCCAGTTTTAAGTTAATAAGCATCTTGAAAAATCTTCCCAAACTACATACCTGTGGTGTCTGGCCAGCTGTATTGACTAATTCTTTAGTTATAACCTCAGTCAGTTTGTCAAGCTGTGAATTATAAACATATAAGTACTTTATAAGAACAAATAATCAGCATGAAAACAATGAACAAGTAATCATCAACAATGAAAAAGTAATCAGTGGCATAAAAATAATTCATACTTCCCGTAATCTAGTGTTGCGACAATTTAGTACTAGGAATAGCTATAGCTATCACTAAAGGTGATTCATATTTCCACCAACAACCTTAACTTTTTGAAAAATAATTGGTTTCAAGCAAACTTTGAACACAACCTATAATTTATTATGTTTAATCTGTGTACCAATAATTATTACAATTAATTGCCTATCTTCCAAAACAAAAAAAATCTATTTTTAGTAACAATGACCTTGACCTTAAACAAAAGGGGTCCAAAAGCAAACCCACCGTGATCTTCATATAAGCTTAGTATATACCAAGTTTGATTGCAATATCTCACTCCCAACTCTAATTATTGCCCAGAAACCATTTTTCTATTTTAGTAACAGTGACCCTGACCCCACGGGGGTCCAAAAGCAATCCCAACAAGGGTCTTCATATAAGCTTGCTATATCACAAGTTTGATTACAATATCTCATTCCTAACTCTATTTATTGCCCAGAAATCATTTTTCTATTTTTAGTAATATGGACCTTGCGCGTGACTCAAGAGGGTCCTAAAGCAATACTAACCAGGATTTCCACATACTGTTGATATATATCAAGTTTGATAACAATAACTCATACCAAACTCTAGATATCGCTCAGAAGTGGACCGACTGGCAAGCTGACTCCTAAACACCCTCCTAAACTTTGTTTGTGGGAATAAAATAAGAAATGAATGAACAATTTTAAATAATATTAAATGACCATTTCCCTTTATACTACCTGTTTAAGTCTATCATGTCTCCATGCACCACTTGCAATTGTTATGTGTTCCTCTTGAGAAAGACCTTCAGTACTTGACTTTGTTTGTGTCTGTCACTATACACTTACACATGTGTTAAAGACCAACTCCATATAAAGATCACCTTGTATACAAAGACCACCCTTCAACAACCCTTCATTTATTAAAAAGGCAGAGCATTACCAAACTAATCAGTAATTTTCAATTTTTCTACAAGTGAACAACTACTTACCCCACATGATTTCTGAATAACTGAGGTGAGACCATAAAAATCAATGTCAGAGATAAAAAAATTGTCACCTCTCCCATGGATCAAATCAGCAACCCCTGGGATGCAAAGCAGATGCTTTCCCCATTGAGCCAAGGGGACAAGCCTGAAATATTATTATGTACAAAGAAAAATCTTACCTTGCTTGGATGAGAGCTAGCCTGTATCACAAACATCCCCGTGTCGGCAAAAGCGTGATTTGTAGCCTGCGCACTTTCTATCCAATGATGCCTTTAACAAACAAATAATACAAGTGTATTTTACTAGGTTGATTACCTTTAATAAACAAATAATACAAGTGTATTTTACTAGGCTGAGTACCTTTAATAAACAAATAGAGGTGTAACTTTAAAAACTAATAGACATGATATACATATGTATATAAAGTTTCTCTACAAACCCACAGGGATACATTAAACATATAATCTAATATCAAAATCTTAATCTAACTTTGGAAAATTTGAAAACATTCACAATTAAACCAGTTGTTCGTAAATTTGAGACTTGATCTAAAAGTCCATCAAAAATTTATGCATGGTACCTTAAGATAGTGAGAAGTGGTGATAACAAAGCTTTTAGTCATAAACTGAAAGAAGCAAGATCTTTTTTTTTGTGTAGATAATGGATTAACTACTTTACTGTTAGTTTCACGGTGCATCAACAAAATTTAGGTCATAAGGCACTGAAACAGGAAAGATGATTTTGGCTTATCTCTGGTATCTCTTCAAGCAACAACAGGGGATGGAAGCACCTCACCTGCTGGGGCATGGTTCATACAGACTTCTCATGTACATAAATTTAGGGCTTTTTTAGGTTTGAGATGATTTTTGAATACATGGTGGACAGCAAATGACCATTGAGACTAAATGTGCAAGATCAATCGTCACAAAGAAACTACATCTTTCCATAAGATAGAACAGCCCATGCCTTGATTACTAATCGGATGATGCCCCTTAACCTAAACATAAGCAGGACTTGTTAAATTATCTAATGCATTGTGATAGCTACACTTACTTATTCAGTACATTCAGGTAAAGTCTAGTGTACATGCCTTTCCCAGGTCCGCCGGCAGAAAATGATCCCCCTCCTCCTAGTAAATTCATTAGTACACAAAATGTTACAAAATCATCGTCCTTATGTGAGCAACTTTCTAGTCCAATAACTAAATGCCCCAGTTCAGGCATTGGATTTGGTCCAAGACTAACATCTGATAAATCTTGTTCTTCCTGCCAGATAAAAGGAAAAAAATATTATTTGTTTTTATTTAACCTCACATAAAAAAGTGTAGCTGAAACAAAACACAATGATAACTTTCCTTCTTGAACTTTTACCATCATACTGTAAAGTAAAGAGCGGTATAATAATGTGCATTATAATATACAATTATTGTATTATTAATATCAAAGTCTATTGACTTCTCTTGTTTTCTAAAGCTTTTTGACAGGCTATATGGCCATATATAAATGCTTGTTTGTGTATATAACCAAGGTGGCTAAGTGAAAGTTATAATGCAAACAAAAGCTTAAATAGGCCATATAACATGTTCATGACATATTTATGAAACAAACTTCCTTACTTTGAGAAAATAAAATGTATTTACTTCATAAATTGACAAAGCCATATTTATAGTTTATATAAAACGTCACAATTATCCAATGAAAAGCATCCTTACAAACATGCAACATTATAAATATCAGATTACTGGCAGAATAAAAGTTAACAAACTTACAGTTACCAGTCCTCCAGTGTACTGTGCTATAGAACAATCCATGCCTTTGGAAGGGTAAATCAGAGATTTGTTTTCTGTCCAAATCGGTGACTTTGTGATGAAATGTTTCTCCGCCATATTGACGAGCGTGTCATGATCGATGCCAACACCGGCTAACACTACTCTCTTAGGATCATAGTAACTGTTCATATATGTGTACAGTAAACGATTGTCTATCTTACTGAGGTTACCGTCAGGACAGATCTTTGGTAGCCCTAGAGTATTATTTTTGTATCCAGCCTGAAACATATGTTAAAAATTAACCCTTTCTCTGTTGATTTATTCATATGGACCTGTCCAAATTCAATTTTTTGAACTTTCCATTTTCAATTTTTGGGTATATCAAGATGAAAACTGAAGTCAGTCAGCCTGCTGATGTGTAGGCCAGGCTGCATTGATCAAGGATATCTGCCCTCCCAAGACATTTGCCCTCAATCTAAATATGTATCATTGGACATTTGCACCACTCCGCTCCCCAAAATGGAAATGTTAACCTAATATCAGGGCTGCCAACAGCAAATTGCAAAATCAGAGGCAAATACGCCGGGGGTCAAGGGGGCTGCGCAAGCCCCCTTTGCGGGTCCAGGGCAGAGCCCCGGTGGGGGCCCGGAAAAGACTCGATTTGACCAATGAGAAAAGCGCTTACAGACATACCATAGGCGGCTAGCGTAACGATAAAAGCCAAGGCGTGCCGGTTTTTGGGTACTGTATAAAATATGACAAATGAATTTATTGTTTTTGTCGAATTTACATCGATCTCAAAAATGACCCAGGAGCTCACAAAATCCGCGGATTTCCGCGAATCTGTGGAAAATCGGCAGCCCTGCTAATATGGACATGATTTGCTTAGCTTTTGTTTCAATAATAATGTAACAATAAATGCAATATAATTAAGAAATAAGAATAAGAATATAGTGGTGCATTTTAGGAGTGGGGGACAAATGTCAAAATTATTACCCAGGACCCACTTGTGCCTTTAATTGAATGGAATTATTGTGACTTTAAAGAAAGAGCTGCCACTTAGCGGGGACCATGCTTGACTTCTCTTATTCCTTGGGACAAATACATCATTAAAAGAAAAATACTCCTAGAATACATAATTTGCTTGAACAAAAAAAAAATTTCGATTTTCATATTCGACAATAAAGGTCAAGGTCATTCAAAGGTCACATTTGAATTAATCATGTCAGTTTTGTAGTAAGTGTTCTTTTGTCCAAATAACATATCAAATTCATAAAATAAATAAAGTTTATGACAATTTAAACAAATTTCAATAATTTGACTTTGATGGTAAAGGTCAATTAAATTTCAAGGTCATTTCAGAATAATTTAACATGTCAGTTTTGACATATGTGTTCTTTTGTCTAAGGATGAATCAAATCTGTAAATAAAAAACCAAGATATGACAATTTAAGCAAATAACAATAATTTGACCTTGGCAGTCAAGATCAAATAAAGGTCAATGTTATATAAGAAATATTCCACATATGATTTGTCACAAGTGTTCTTTTGTAAAATTATAAATTGAATACATAAGTAAATAACAAAGCTATGACACTCAGCTAAATTCAATATTTGAAAAACAAAGTTTTTTAGCCAATCAGGCAAAAATCAAGTAGATTTCAATAATTTCACCTGGAAGGTCAAGGTCATTGACGAATGAAGGACACGGCAAATAATCAACTTGAAGATCTGGTCTAAATACTGTTTATGTCCAACTATAAAGACAATCAAAATATAAATACCAAAGTTTTAGCCAATTATAGCAAAAATCAAGCAAAATTCAAAATTTCACCTTGAAGGTCATGATTATTTAAGAGTCTATGCTGATTCCAATCTGGTGTACTTGAAGGTCTTGCCCAAAGGTTTGTTGTGTCGAATATTAAAGACGATTCAAAAAAGAAATTTGAACAAGAGGGCCATGATGGCCCTGAGGTCGCTCACCTGTATATAGGCCCCCCGGAGCAGGGCCAGTTTAAACCCCAGGGCTTTTATTTGAACAAACTTGGAAGACACTCATTAGAAGATGTTTCACAATGTTTAGTTTTTACTACACACATGTAATGAAAAAAATGATCTCCACCTCCCCCCCCCCCCCCCCCCGGCAGAACCAATTTTCACCCAAGGGCTTTTATTTGAACAAACTTGGTAAACATAAGAAGATATTTCATGCTAAACATCTAAGCTCTAGCTCATTGGGTTTTTTAAAAGAAGATTTTTTAAGTTTTTACTACACACATATAGTTAAAAACAATGACACCCCTGGGGCGGGGCCAGTTTTGACCCCAGGGCTTTTATTTGAACAAACTTTGTAGACACTTACTAGAAGATGTTTCATGCTTAATATCTAAACTTTAGCCATTTGGGTTCTTTCAAAGAAGATTATTTAAGTTTTTTTTATACAAATATAAGGAAAATCAATGACCCCCCGGGCCGGGGCCAATAATGACCCCAGGTCTATTATTTGATCAAACTTTATTGACACTCACTAGAAGATGTTTCATGCTTAATATCTAAACTCTAGCTATTTGAGTTCTTTCAAAGAAGATTATTTAAGTTTTTTCTATACAAATATAAGGAAAATCAATGACCCCCCGGGCCGGGGCCAATTTTGACCCCAGGGCTTTTATTTCAACAAACTTGGTAGACACCCATTAGAAGATGTTTCATGCTGAATATCTTAGCTCTAGCTCTTTGAGTTTTTTAAATAAGATTTTTTAAGTTTTTACTACAGTGTAACTTCCGAATTCCGGAACTTCTGAAATCCGGAAACTTCTAAAAACCGAACAATTTTTTCGGTCCCGATTTTTTCCCTTCTATTTTCTTTTAATATAATACTTCTGAATTCTGGAACTTCTAAATTCTGGACGATATTTTCGTAAAATTAGAGTCAAATCAATGCAATTTTACCTCCAAAAACCGGAAATATCCAAAGGTGTGAAATACATTGTAAACCCTGCAGGAAGATTTATTCTCCCTATCGATTGTTTACTAATTAGCGGTGATCGTGTAATTTGATACGCGTTAAAATCACAAACTGTGAAATGGTATGTTTGAAGTGATGCGGTTAATCAAAGTAATTTACGGCGGTCAGTTAATTTGAAGTGTTTATTAGCGGATTAAATGACAATTAATTGGACAATGTATGCATCAAAAGTCTTTAGGGATTTTATTGCATTTGATGTAATAATTAATTAACTAGCATCGGACGATATGTAAGTTTATGCAATTAACATCATTTCTACAAACTGATAGAAATTCAAAAGCATTTGCAAGTAAGATAAAAATGTATTCTTTTCATTCACATCTTTATCTTGATTAAAAGACTATTATATATGATAATACAGTAATGGCCACTTCTTCCTTGACATTTAGTGATATTATGTGGCTTAGTCTTGTCCGCATTATCATAAACCTCTGAATTCCGGAAACCTCTGAAATCCAAACTTTTTGACAAGTCCAATGGGTGTTCGGTTTTCGGAAGTTACACTGTATATGCATATAGGGAAAATCAATGACCCCCTGGGGCGGGGCCAATTTTGACCCCAGGGCTTTTATTTCAACAAACTTGGTAGACACTCATTAGAAGATGTTTCATGCTGAATATCTTAGCTCTAGCTCTTTGGGTTCTTTAAAAGAAGATTTTTTTAAGTTTTTACTATATGCATATAGGGAAAATCAATGACCCCCTGGGGCGGGGCCAATTTTGACCCCAGGGCTTTTATTTGAACAAACTTGGTAGACACTTTCTAGAAGATGTTTCACGCCAAATATCTAAGCTCTAGCTCTTATGGTTTTTTAAAAGAAGATATTTAAAGTTTTTTCTTTCGGTTGCCATGGCAACCAGAGTTCTGCATGGAATTAAATTCTTTGAACAATTTTTAAAGGTGACCACCAAAGGAACATTCCTGTGAAGTTTGGATGAAATTGGCTTAGTGGTTTTTGAGGAGATGTCATTTAAAGTAAAAGTTTACGGACGGACCCCGGACGAAAAGCGATCACAAAAGCTCACCCTGTCACTTTGTGACAGGTGAGCTAAAAAAATAATGACTAATGTTAAAGTTTTTGGACGGCAACAGCAAAAGAAAGGATATCATGACTGTAGCAATAGCTCCTTTTTTTCTTCAAAAAAGTCGGGCTGAAAACATCAACCGCCAACAAAATTAAACTTACAGCAAAGATCATCTCTACCATCAGTGCCGTGGGGTCAGGGTTCATACGGAGAGACTCTAGCTCAAATCCAATTGCCTGTCGTGCCATCTCAATCTTAAATACATAAAACCAACGAGATAATTGTATATCAGCTATGTCTTACCAACTACAGTGACATTGTCGAAAAAATATTTTGACCTTTAGTCTTCTACAAAAAATAGTTAAAATTCATATAATAACAAATGACATAATGTCCATCTTTATATTTGTAGGTTTTTTTTCTTATAGTAAAGAATTACTTTTTTTAAATATTAAAACATTAGAATATATTATACCTCACATAAATTTGTTGCTTCTTTACTTATATCACAAAGTGCTGAAGTGTGTACTATTTCTTATAATATGACAGTTATATCATTAGGTCTTTCACTTACAATGATTTTTCTCTCTTAATTGGGAAGATGCCTTACCCTCTTCATTTTGGGAAAAATTAACGATTAAAATGCTGATTTGGGAAGTAAAAAGGCTGGTTTAAGTTCAGATTTTTGGGAAAACTGCATGATTTTAAAGAAAATTTCAATTGAGAAGAGGCCTTTTTTCGGAGTCTGTTACATAAGTAGAAAAATCACTGACTTAAAGCAGTTTACTAAGAGTTACAAGTTTAGAATTCAAGTGTAGTAAATCACAAACTATCAAATTCATTGAATTGTTCAAGCGCTAAGAAACGGTCAGCGGTTCTACATAGGTATGAACATTTGTCTAAATTACATCACCTTAGTGCAGTAATAGTTTAAATCCCATTGAATTATAAAAGGAGTTAAATCTGCACACCTCCAGATGAGCCAATATATTTCAAGAAAATCAACATTGAGAAAATTGTACTAACATTTTGAAGACAGGTAAAAACATTCAAGATCCAAGTTAAATTTTACATGTTATGTGCACACAAAAACTTAACCAAAGTGTGACTAGGAACAGACAACTTTGCCCAAGCCAGAGTGAATACAATAGCTTTTCCTATTCCTCAAATAGTCCAGATGAAAGTACAAGTAAATATATAAGTTCGGACAAAATTACTTCTAAGGGCTACCTTGTACTGAAAAATAAAATGAGCCGTGTCACGACAAAACCAACATAGTGCGTTGGCGACCAGCATGGATCCAGACCAGCCTGCGCATCCGCGCAGTCTGATCAGGATCCATGCTGTTCGCTTATAGACCATATAACAAGTAGAGAAACTAATAGTGAACAGCATGGATCCTGATCAGACTGCGCGGATGCGCAGGCTGGTCTGGATCCATGCTGGTCGCAAACCCATTATGTTGGTTTTGTCGTGACACGGCTCAAATTAACGTACCTCCTCATCACCTATGACAGGCTGGTAAACTACGTCTGACAGTATATCTAACGCCTCGGGTAGCCCCTCTCTTTCTAATGACATAGCATATATCATTGTATCTCTGAAATTTATAATGAAATATATCTAATATGTACAGTTTATGCCATTTTATATAAAAAAGTGGACATGAAATAGCGTGTCTATGAATTTTTAGGGGGAAATAAAAGGATTACTTTACAAGATATATCATTTAACAGTTGACTCAAATATTAAGTGACCTTAGTACTGAAACTGGTCATTATTTTGATCCATATATTCTTGTATTTTGTGTTGTAATTCATCAAATAGTTTATAAACTAGATTTTTTTTCCCTCATAAATTAGTATTATTCTATTACATTTTGTTTATATGCCAATCATTTTAGCCTTATATGATAACTGTTAGTTTCATAAAGGGATGAAAATAAAATCGGGATCATCTGATCCAGACTGTTATCTTCCCTTTCTGAACACACAGCCAAAAGCCAGCTGATAAATGAGCCACGTCATGACAAAACCAACATAATGTGTTTGCGACCAGCATTGATCCAGACCAGGATGCACAGGCTGGTCTGGATCCATGCTGGTCGCAAACCCATTATGTTGGTTATGTTGTGACGTGGCTCAAATAAAATCAAACCTCGAAGACTGACAATCACAAATGCCTCCAACTTTCTCTAACACTTGGTTGATTTTATCTCGATTTTCATAATTTGTTGTTTTCTGAAATAGATAAAATGGAATCTTCCTGACTTTTTTTCTTGTCTGTAAATCATCACTGACTCCCCGAAATTTGATGGCATGGATTTGGCATGCTTAGAATTTGAAATAGTCTATAATTATGATGTTAGGGATTCTTATATGAAAATGCAAAAATTGAGCTACCAGCAGTATAGAGCCTGGCCAAACTGCATGACTTTGATCTGGCACTATGCTGGTGACAAATGTTAATTTGTTACTTTGACCCTTAGGGCCCTTTAACCTTTGTCACTTTATTTTGTTGATTAACAAGTTCACCGCAAAGGCAGGACAATATAGGCCTGAATATTAATTGTTTTGAATAATCACAAATAATCTTTCAATTACGACAGAGACCCAACCAATAAACTTGTCTGAAAAATGTTATATCTTAATAAATTAAATAATGAGACATTTTTTATCCTAAGTACATGATTCATTTAACTTTTATAGAGGTAATATATATGCCAAATAAAGAGAAATAGTATTGATCCAATAAAAAACAACAAGATGTGTTTTCCTATAAGGTACATTGTCTACATGAAGAATAAGACTCCTGGTATACGGCAAATTTTGACCGGAGGGTCATGACTAAATGTAACTTTTGAAGAAATCAACAAATTGATTTTACATGCCAGATATCTCTAAGCTCTGGGCATTGTAGTTTCGTACAATATGACTTACATGTGCTTTTCTACATAAGTTTAAATAAATCAAGTGACCCAGGGCCAGGCTTATATTGTCCCCAGGGGGCATAACACTATTCATTTTGTAGAGGTTCATAAGGTTATTCTACATGATCAATATCTTAAGTTCTTGGTATTGTAATTTTACAAAATAAAGACTGAAATGTGTCTCCTCATATAAGACTATATCAACTAAATGACCCCAGGCAAGGATAGTTCCTACCGAAGACTGTTCCAGATTCAAAGTTGGACTAATCCATTATAGAAATATAGCAGGTTAAGGGTTAAACTCAGTGTATAATAATAACTAAAGTCAACTACCTTAATCGCTCAGCCATTGAGTTCAAATATCAACATTAATCATTTGAAACCGAGTTTTGTTTGTTTTGGGTTTTATGTCACATGGACACAGTACAGGTCATATCGCGACGTTCCAGCTTTAGTGGTGGAGGAAGACCTCAGGTGCCCTTCCGTGCATTATTTCAGGCACAAACAGGAACCTGAGTAGAAATACTGACTTTCCGTAAGCTAGCTCGATAGCTTCCTCACATGAAAGAATCCAAAGTCCCTGTCGGGATTCGAACCCACAGTGGTGGGGGGCAAGTTATTTGAAGTCAACGACCTTGAAACTTAGTATAATGCATGAATGGTGTAACACAAATATGTTGTCAGTTATCATTGTAAAAACATGCTGTGCCATAAATTGTTATAGCACAAGATCAAATGCACTTCCTGCATGTAATAACTTACACTAAAAGCCAGTTTCTCCAGGAAATGGTTTATACCACTTGGGTAGTTTACTTCATATCTTGAACCAGAGTCGATCAATACACCAACAGTACAAAACTCCCCAAATTTATTCTCCGACGCCACTCGTAAGCCATTGTCTAGTACCGTCACCTGAAATAGTTGTAAAGAAAATTAACTTTTAGCCTGATAGTGGCAACTGAATCTACCCATGCTACCAGTGCAGACCAATATTAGCCAGTACATCCATGCCTTCTAATCATGGTCTGCACTGTTTTCTTTTCAGTCAGTATATTTATTAAAATTTTACCTAAAAATGATAACTTTATGATTTTGTCCCACATTACAAGTTGGACAAGTGTATTCAATATAGTTAGTGCTAAAAAGTTAAACCACAAACATATTCATTTATTATCAGGTCTGAATCATGGATATTATCAAATTTAATTTAAAACTACAATCAAGTACTCTCACAATCTGACTAAAGTTCAGATCTACTTATTTATTACATGATTTTAATCAGATTGGTACTCTGACAATAGTTTCTACATCAACTGAAACAAACTTAATACATAAACACTATCAGAGCAACAGATAAGCTTTAAAAGTGAATTGGGTATTACTCCATCATTTCCTTTGGAATTGGGTATTGGCTCCATTTAATTGGGTATTCCAAAACTCGATACCCTATGATTTCAAGATTAATTGGGTATTCAATTATGAAGATATGAATTTTATGATTTTAATATCAATAAAATTTAAACTCTTTTAAAAAGAAAATAGGATTAACAATTTACTAGAACTTTTCACAATTGTTTTATTTTTTATATAAAATGCTCATGTTATATTTCATAATATTTTAACAAGTTCGTTTTCTGACTGATTTTTGATTTACGACTGTTTTGACGCCATATTGCTTTCAAAGCGTCTATTGATACAGCTGGGACCTACTTATTGACGGTCTCTGCCAGTCTTTGAGGACCGTTGACCTCAGTAGACAAATCGACGGTCTCATGCTTTATTGATATGGCTTAGTCGGTCTTGGAGACCGGGGACCGTCGAAGACCGGAGACCGTTGATTAGTTAGCATTGATTCGGGAATATTCGGATAGCATGCATATCGATATAATTTGTCCAAAACTACGAGCGTACGAAAGATTAATTTTGCGGTGATGAAAATGACAATACGCACGGGTTTTTAAGACAATTGCGTATTCTATTTTTTTAATGGGTTTTGATACGCATTCTTAAAAAATCAATTGCGTATTTTATAAAATTAATTGCGTAAATACGCAAATACGCACCTTATCTGTTGCTCTGACTATGTTTTACAATTCTAAGATTACTCAATACTATACAAACCTGGGTCTCATGTTGTGTTTTGTCAGCCACTGCATACCTTGGTGGGGGAAAGTTTGGAGGCCTCGATGATAGAGGCACATTTTTCATAGGTATGTCAGCATTTCCCCCTGCCTCTCTACTACTACAAAGGTATCTTTTACAACATTTCCTACAAAAAGAAAATGACTCATTGATTACATGTATATACTGTTACAATCAAACTGTCAACAAAAGCCACCATGGAGAATGTGTAAATGCGGCCTTTATTCAACGGATTATACCAAATGTTGGATGAGGGATTTTTTAAAATTATTTTACAGCCGTTATTTGGTCATATTCCCAATTGAAAAAAGTATATTATTTTCCCAATCCACAGGAAAAAATTCCCAATTGAAAGTTACAAAATAAAAATATTGAATAAAAATTCTAAAATCTTTGCAAATAAGGGCTTCTTCACTGTAATAGTGCTTAAATCTTTGAAGATGCCACCGTAGACAGTAATTATTTGCATCCATTTAATCGCTGCAAAATTTCAGTTATGCAGTTTTACCCCAATTTTTAACAAAACACCGCTGAAATACCATGGGTCGTGTTCTCAAAATCCGGGGAAGAAAATCCCTGTTTCTTCATATGCCTGTATTCTTTTTGAATATGCCTACCTATACCTTTCAATTTTCCGGCGATTTTAACAAACATTTTGTGTGTGTGTGTTAAGTGAATGCATTCTCTTCAATATATATCACATATTAGGTATAAAAAGGTTGATTTTTTAGCAACAGTCAACAGAGTTTATTACAGTTTGTTTGCCACTGATTTATGTTTCTTATATCAGAGATGAAACTTCGGCGCATGCAACGACCTTCCTACCAATCAATGCAGATATTCAAAGCTTGGGACAGGTAAATATGAATTTATGAAATAATACTTTTTTGTGTCTGAACTCTGATATTTAAAGTGACATAACAGTTATTTTGTCCCGCTTAATTAGTATTATATTTCAACAGATAGACTAATATAATAATGATAGATGGATAATTAATCACGAAAAAAGTGTGTGAAAGCCGGGTTTCTGTTCGCCGGATTAAATTACATAAATAACTTTCCAGTTCTAAGTCGACTCCTGTCGCGAAAATAGATGATTAATTGCTCTAACGTCATATCTTTTAACATAGGACAATGAATTATCATCTCTTCCATATCTATAAAGTATATTTTGTATGTACCGCAATAATATCTCAGAAATTAGCTAAAGAATACCTATTTATATTCTTGCAACCTTGGCCGAGGATATTTCTCAGCATGCGAGTCGCCATTACAAAGGTCAGAGACCACTATGCGTTTTCTGATGCGTCATAGGCTACACTGTACTAAATCAGAATGTGACATTCTCAAGATTGAAAATAAAAATAGTGTCGTTTTACAGATATGAGAATTGTTATCAAGTAATAGAGCCATACATGTAAGCTATCAAGTTATATTGCCTTCCACAACTACGGTCTGATTAAAGATTTGAATAATTTGCCAGGTTACGTGAAATCACAGATATATAAACAATCTTATATTTAACTCCATGGTAAAATATATATCTACATTTTCTATTTTTTTCTTATTTTCTGTGATAATGCAAAACTACTGTGATAATATAGAATGCTTAAGTCTATAGTCAAGCTACTGAAATCTAATGAGCATATTTTGCACTTTAATTTACAAAAGCAATTAAGTAAACCTAAACTTAGAAATTCTAAGATTGGTAATTTCGGAGATTTTATTACCTCATTATCTATAAATGAAACTCTGTCTCCCTGGTGTCATCTTGTTCTATTGTTGGTTCACAGGAAGCTTACCGGCTTAATGGGCTATCCTCGTAACTATATCGATCACTTATAATTAAATTTATTTCTCCATGTAAACTTAACCTATATTTAAACGCTGGTACTTTTTATCCACCATATAATATCTTTACATCTATGTTAATCTACATAGACTTTATGAAACATTTTTTGTGCTCCTAGCCATTAAGTCTCTTAATCTGATCTGTGATTTTTCCCTATTTACCCTACGTACGTCTAATCTGCCTTCTACTTCTACTTCTACTTCTATGTTGAACTCGTCTGTAAATCCGCTGTGCAGACAGCAGCGACGAGTGGTGATGTGAAATGTGCTCCATAAAACGTGGGCTAAAAACCTGTCCCCCATGTGCGGCACAAGGCGTTCGAGTTAAAATAATGTGAAAACGTAGTGTGAAGTAAAATCCAACATGTTTGTACACTATACACGATGTTTAATAATTTACACATATACGTATGACTGGACAGCAGTTTTAAAACTGTCCAGATTGTCCACAGTTGTGATGTTAGCTGGTAAGTTGTTCCAATAAGGTACAGTTCTTGGAAGTAATGAATGTTTGTACGCATTAAGTCTGCAGTGATAAGTGACGTAAACTTTACCAAGTTTGTGTATTTTGTTGATAGTTGTGGGTGGTATTCAACTGGTACAGCCACCAGGTTATTAAACACTTTATACATGAGAATTAAGTCCGCACACTGACGACGTTGTTCAAAGTGTTGGCCATTTTAGGTCGTGTAGCATTGATGTTACGCTAGATGGATTGTTACGATTGAATGGTTTATTCATGGACCCGGAAAAATCTTTGCCGCGTTCCGTTGTATTTGTTCAAGTTTCTTTGATGTATTAAGTTGTTGGGGATCCAAATTGTGACGCATATTCCAGTTTTAGGTCGAACCAAAGTTTGATTAAGCTCTTTCTTTACTGCGGTCGGGCAATGTTTTAAGTTCCGTTTGATGAAACCAAGGAGTACTAGAAAGCTTTTGCTGTGATTGAATCGATGTGTAGGTTGTATTTCATAGTATCTGCTAGTTCAACTCCCAGATATGGATGGTTTTTTAACAACATGTAGTGATTGATTTTTCAAATTTTGTAGTCAAATACAGATTTGTTACGTTTATTTGTTATTGACATGGTTGCACATTTATCGACGTTAAATTCCATTTGCCAGATATTACTCCAATCAACTAAAGTGTCCAGGTCTTTTTGTAGGATATGTTATGATCTTTCACTGGTGAGTATGGTTTCTATAAATTACACAATGCAGCAAATAGGCGAATTGATGACTTTAATATCCGAAGCGATGTCGTTAATATATAGTAAAACCAATGCAGGACCAAGCACGGTTCCCTGGGGGCACGCCAGATGTTACCAGTGACGGTCTTGATGATTCTCCGTCTACTACCACTCGTTGATAACGACCGTTTAAGGAATTCATTAATCCATAAGTTGGTTTCATTACATATACCATAATATTGCATTTTCACAGAGAGACGCTGATGTGACACTTTATCGAAAGCCTAGAAAAGTCAAGCACCGCCATATCAACCTGGTGACCAAGATTAACACTACGAGCAATGTCATCAGTAGTTAATAGAAGTTGAGATTCACACGAGCGTTTAGCCCTGAACCCATGTTGGTTTTCATGAAGAATGTTCTGGCTGTCTAAATGGTTCATTACTTGCGAAACTATTATATGTTCAATCATTTTTAGAAACAACTGCGGTTAAACTTACAGGCGGTAGTTCGATGTTTGGTTCTGTCGCCTTTTTTTGAAAATTGGTACAATGTTAGCGTTTTTTCCAGTCCAATGGTACTTCAGATTTATCAATTGACTGTTGGAATAAAGACCGTATAATTGGTGCTATTTCAGTTACACATTCTTTCAAGACTATGATAGGTATTTTATCTGGCCCAGAAGCCTTTCTGGGATTAAGTCTGTTAATACACTTAACAACGCCATTTAAATGTGAAACGTTTATATTGGGCATTTCGAGCGCGTTATGGGCGAAGTTCCTTTATTTGGTAGATTGTCCAAAGATTCTTTCGTAAATACTGAACAAAATGGTTGCGGTTAAGCATTTCTGCCTTATGACTAGCGGATTTCGGCGATTTGACGTTGTTTTTCCAATGTTCCAATGTTCACGCTGTCTTGTGTTTACGAGATTTTATATATTTCCAAAAGGATTTCGAAGATTTATCATTTCTGGATCAAGAAGATACTAATGTAATGAAGTATGTAGTTTATTCCTTACAATTTTGCGAAGGTCACTAAATTTTTTATAGTCACTTGCGTTATTACTTTTTCTTGCAATGTTATATAAGTAACGTTTTTTCTTAACAAGCCGTTTGATATTCTTTGATAACCACGGTATGTCCGATTTCCCTTTTACAGTTTTCTTCGGTATGTATTGTTCCATTGATTCTAATAATATTTGTTTAAAATTGTTCCTTCGGTCATTTATTTGATTTATTTAATTATTGATATTTAAATTTGTTTAACCGTTATTTTTTATAAGATGTATATCTTTTATGTAACTGTGATCTATATGTTGTTGCAAAAAATGAAATGAAGTGGGCTACAGCCCTCCCCATCCCCAGACCTGGTATGTTTTTCTATAAAAAAGCAGATGAAAATAAAATACACCTAAATCCTTGTTTATTGGAGCCTGGACACTGGGCTGCCGAGCTTCCTGTAATGAAAATATTTAAGTCAAAACACGCACTGCATGCCTTGTGGAAAATTAAACGACATCATCTGTTAGATATCGAATATATACTATATATATTCACACGCTTTCATTAGATTACTTTTACGTATGTACGAAAAGTGAGTAAATAAGTATAAGTAAAGGGCACATTTTTTAGTAGATCTACTTTTTTTACACAACCCCCTTTAAATGTGACGATGGTATATTCTATTCGTATATTCATCCAGAATTAATTACTTTTGAGCTCTTTTCTTTACATAGAATAAGGAAGCATAAATGATGTTAAATTAGTTAGTATTTCAAAATCATCTCTTTTTTAAGGGTTTATATAAAACATTATAAAGGCTATCCTTCTAAAGGCATCTTAAACTATGGAAAGTTCTTTTTAAACCATTCAGTTTTCCCTAAATTTCAGTTATCTTCTGTTTTCTTCCTCTTTGGCAAGAATATTTAATACCAATTTATTTTCCCCATAATTTAAAGGAAGAACTATGGTGGCTGATTTGTGCCATTCGTGTTTTCGCCCCGTGACCCTGCAAAGCGAAAAGTCGAAAATTAACATATTAAAATGGCGGAAGCGCGGAACGAAAAGTCGCAAATAAGCGGGGGCGCGGGACGCATATTAATAAATAAAACTTCGCCTCGCGGGGTCGCGGAGCGAGACTTAAGAAATAAAACGGCGGGGGCGCGGAGCGAAAACGCACTAATTAGCACCCTCGTTAAAAGCGTGTTTTCGAGCTTTTGCTTGTCGGGGCCGCGGGGCGAAAAACGCTTATAAGTCGGCGCTAATTAACGACTTTTCGCTCCGTCCCGCACCCCCCCCCCGACATTTTGATTAACTAAAAAAAAAGTCTTGTTAATTCACGACTTTTCGCTTGGTGCGGTCGCGGAGCGAAAACACGTGTGTCCATATCAGCCACCATAAAGAACCCCTTCTCTTGCCTGTATTATGCAGCTTTATTCATTTAAGTATGAAGAGAAAGTTCTTTTCAAGGTTAAAACATTGAGCATTCTATATGCTATGTGTATACATTGTATTATATGTTTATATGTTATGTCTTATTTAAATATCATGCAATTTTAAAGCAAAAAAAGATACTGTGATATATATGTGATTGCGAACAGGTGAAAGGTAAAATAAGTTTAACATAGTTCCTTTTCAATTTTACACTGAACAAACTTCGCATAAATGATAAATACCTCAAAAGAAGCCAACGAAATAATCTAAATGTCCATCGGAATTTAACTGTGTAACGTTCAACTTAAAAAAAAGAGTGGGCTTTCCTTCGATTCATATTATATTTTAGGCAGAATTATATTTTATCCTTAACATCTTTTTTAATTTTAATTGTTGGTCACTGCCATAACAGCCAATGTATTGAATAATACTATAATACACTATAGTAATTTAGTTTTCCAATTGAAAAAAAAAAAATTCGCTCAAAATTGGTTTGTTGTTGTAATTTTGTCATTATAATTGCACAGAAACGTACATAAACTTATACCTTGTTTTTAACTTCTTTTAAATATCAATCTGGAAGTTTATATCTATCGTTGTATTTAATTTCTTCTTTATTCTCATCAGAAAGTATCATACGACCTCGTTACTTGAAACAGAACCTTGGTTTCGTATATAATGGAAAACACAATTGTGTTAAATTGCCATTAAATTAAATTAAATTTAAAATATACCCCGGATCGTGTCTACGAGGCCTTACATTTTCACAAGCGTTCCAAAAGAACAATACCCAAAAATAAAAACATCGTGGAATAAAATAAATTGTAAACAGCTC